ACACACACACACACACACACACACACACACACACACACACACACACACGTGGCCACATGGTCCTTCGTTTGCCTTGCCCAACTTTAAAGCACTATATACCCCAAAAAATCCATTTCAGAGAATCCTTCCAGAAGCTTCTTTGCTAGATCTCACATCCTTTCTTTCAGCCCTGTCTTTGGGTTCAGATTCTTCTCATTAATCTAACCCACTTCCACTGTTTAATTCCATGTTGGGCTCTGCATTTTCTTTTTTATTATTTTTTGGACTCCCCCATTTTCAAAGGCAGTGTTTTGGTTTATTTGTTTTTTAACTTTTTGGGTATAACATATATACAGTAAAATGCATCAAATGCTCTAATCTTATGTGTATAGCTCAGCAGATTATCTCTTATGTGTACACCTGTGTGACCACACTCAGACTGAGGTGCAGATGTTTCCAGCACCCCAGAAGGTACTGTGCATCCCTTTCTAGCCAGTCCCCCTATTTTCCCTATAGCGCTAACCCCATACGATACAAGACTTTTCTCCTGTCTCTGTATTAAATAATACTGGGATCAAGCTGTTTCTTTCAGGAAATGCCTTCCTTCTCTGTGAAGTTGGCCAAACTGCAGGTCCCCACATGACTTCTCTCACTGCTGACACTAATTACAATTTCAAGGGTTCCTCAAACCATCCTCAGTTTTAGTAATTTATAAGAAAGACTCACAGAACTCATGGAGACAGCTGTTATACTCACAGTTATGGTTTATTACAGGGAAAGGACACAAATTAGAACCAGCCAAAAGAAGGGATGCAGAAGTTAGAGTTGGGGAGGGGTCCAAGTCCAAATGTGGAGCTCCAGCTCGTCTTCTCCTTATGGAGTTGCTGGAGTTAAGCTGCCGCCATTGATGTGTAATGATATGCATAGGGGAGCTCAGCAGGGCCTTTGGTATCCAGTTTTTACTGGGGCCCAGTCACAAACTGCCTGTGTGGCTGACTTTTAGTCTCCAGTCCTCCTGGGGTCAGGCTAATATCGTTAGTTTCCAGTTCCTCCAAAGGTTGCAGTTGGTACAGTGTGGTCCTAAAACCCCATCATATTTGCATTGTTGGCCAAAGCCCAGGCTAGCAAAGTTACCCTTGTCAGGCAGGACATGCCAGGGGCCTAGAGATCACCTCCCAGGAGCCAAGGGCAGAGACCAGACCTCCCTCTGGGTGAGGTGAATTCTTTACTACACACCTACATCGGCCTGACGAGAGTGAAGGTGTGTGATCGCCGGCACATTCCAAAGGCACTTTTTTTTTTTTTTAAAGATTTTATTTATTTATTTGACAGAGAGAGACACAGCAAGAGGGAACACAAGCAGGGTGAGTGGGCGAGGGAGAAGCAGGCTTCCCATGGAGCAGGGAGCCTGACGCAGGGCTCGATTCTAGGACCCTGAAATCATGACCTGAGCCGAAGGCAGATGCCTAACCCACTGAGCCAGCCAGGTGCCGCATCCAAAGGCACATTTTAAAAGTTGTTCTCTTAGGGGGAAAAGACTGCCAATGAAAGCAACAAAGACTTTTTTTTTTCCAATTAGAAGAATGTTTATTTAAAATTTTTAAAATTTTTAATTTTCTAAAGTTTTTGCTTAGTTGGCTTAATCACTGGATTTTTATTACAAACTCACTTCAATTAAAAACTATACAAATTTTAACCAACTACATAAATTATTTTATTGACCTTGCAAAAGTCCTTTAAAGATTATTTATTTATTTATTTGATGGGGGGAGCTTAAGTGGGGAGAGGGGCGGAGGGAAAGGAGAGAATCTTAAGCAGCCTCTGTGCTCAGTGTGGAACCCGACCCAGGGCTTGATCTCACGACTCTGAGATCATGACCTGAGCCGAAATCAAAATTCGGACACTTCACTGACTGGAGCCATCCAAGTGCCCCCCAAAAGTCCTTTATTATAAATAATTATATGATAATATTATAACATTAAGGAATTTTAAACTAGAAAGTCCTTCAACTGAAAAGGAAAAAAAGAAGAAAGAGATTAAATGTTTGGAAGTTTAGAACTCTGTCAGCAAGAACAAGCATAGTCAGGCTAGGTTCTGGATGTATTGTAATATAGTGCTTTTCAGCACATATCAGCCCATTGTTTACCCGTGGCCAGAGTGATCTTCTGGCGTCTAACACATTGCTCTGAGAACGAAGTCAAAACTCCTAAATGTGGTTTCTAAGGCCCTGTATGATCGGACCCTGCTTCTTTCCCCAGGCTCGCCTTCTGCCTCTCCCTCTCCCCCGATGTGCTTCTCACTTCTTATTCTGGAGCTTGTTCTGCAGATTTGAATGCTTTGTGCACCCTGGGCCCCTGGGCTTTCACAGATGTTTCTCCCACTGCTTGGAAGAATCTCTCTTCCCCCAGACTTCACTCCATGTTGACTGGCTAACTCCTCCTTATCCTCAGGCCTCCGCTTAGAAGCCAAGAAGAGGCTTTTCTAAAGAATCAATTTCACAAGGTATTTTTATCTCACCACCTACCCTGTAGTCAGTGCAGTTAGAAGTGGAGGAGGTTTTGGTTAAGCCTTTAAATATCCTAGTGCTTGGTTGATGTTTAGTGGAAATAGCTCAGGTCCCACCTGACTGCATATGTAAGGGCAGAATGTACTATCACTGATTGTTCTAGCATCTAGACCGAGGACGCAATGTGTGTAAAGCACTTTCCACTTAATTAGCAGACTTTACTAATTAATCTTGACATTGGTACATGAATTGAGACCTATTTACCATCCTTGCTTAAAATTCAGACAGCTTAGGAGTGACGTGTTGGTTCCACCTAACTGGTAGCTCCAGCCTAGAAGTTTGGTAAATTTTTTTTTTTTAATAGATGTGGGGGGTGGGTAACCAAATGGAGTCTCTCTTGTTAAAATAGCTTTATTATTGCAATAAATCTAGAGAGAAGAGAACAGGGAGTGAGAGTCTCCCTTGTTAGTTAAACACGTTCCATTTGCACATTGGCTTGGATTCCCAGGAGAGCAGTATCCAAGCTGATGGATCTTCCCCATAAAAAGGCCTTGGCATTGGGCCATTGTAAAATTAAAATGAATTCAGATTCATTCATGCATGCAACTTTAATTTACAATTAAAATATTATGGTTACATATTTTAATAAGAATAATTAGATGGACCCAACTGAATCAACTCTTCTGTTTAATGAGACAGAACCCAGAATCCTAATGAAAAGGCAGGTGGCTGTGTCAGGAAACACGTTTCAGGCTGTCTTTCGTGGAGTCAGGCATTTTCATCCTCTTTATATTCCAATGTCCGGAGCAAGCAGTTTGATTTTTTTCTGCGTTGCTAAAGACCCTTGCTTCCTGCCACGTTGAGCTCCTCTTCTGTGATGTGTGAATAAATAGTTCGCTCCTGCTGGACCGTGTTTCATGGGGTCCTACACTCTGGTCCCTCCAAGGCACTGGGTTTGTTCCTCTGCCCCGGGCTCCTGTGGCGTGAACGGGGTGGCCCTGCCTATGTGATATGACTGCGAGGGTGGGCTGAAACCCCTTTTGTGTGTGTGGCTCTTGGGGGTGGGATGTATATCTCCCTTGCTGTCCTGGATCACAATGGCCGCATTCTGCCTTGAGAAATTTATACCTTTAGGGTAAGGGTTTTTCTTCCATGTATACATACTTCACACTGGACAGCAACGACCGGTTATTGACACCTTAGTGGCAGTAAATCCCTCAGCTCCGTGGCAGCAGGTATCCTGACTGGAGCCGACGCAGGGGGCGCCCAGGGGAATTCCAGGCACCCTGAGGACCCTGTCGCCCAGGGAGGAGACAGGGCCTTGCAAGGACGGACATGAGGGAAACTTAACAGTTGCATGTTCGGGATACACTTGTGCTGACCCATGGTAACCTTTTGGGCTCACTCTGGGAAAGCATGGTTTTGTTATTGGGAAACTGATTGGAAACTGACTGGGCTGGAACCAATGAGTATCATTAAAGAATATCCCATAAGCAAGCCTTCCCCCTG